CGTTTTCATTCTGGCCATCCCAGTGCCTGGGGCGCATTGGGGTTAATGGATTTTTCATTTGCATGTCCCCTACGACTAAGGTTGCCGAGAGCCTTTTCATGTGATTATTGGACATTTATGCAACTTTGGAGAAAGGTCTATTCAGATCCTTTGCCTGTTTTAAAAGTTGGCTCTTTGTCTTTTTATTATTGAGTCGTAGAGTTCCTTAGATTTTTCTGGATACTAGAACCTTGTCAGATACACGATTTGCAGATACTTTCTCTCATCCTGAAGTTCATCTTTGCACTTTCTTGACGTTTTCCTTTGCAGCACCAAAGGTTTCAGTCCAAGAGCCCACTGTGTAACCCAGGATCACTAAGACCTCCTTTGGCACATGTGTTGGGCGGATTTTCAGTTTTGGGAGAGCTCTTGATGGGTGGCAAGGAGCGGAAGGCCGAGGCCCCTGGGAGGTGGGCATGAGCCGAAGGCGCCTGTGAGGAAGCTGCGACAGGTGCAGGCGTCTGGCTTTCATCTCCTGGGCACTGGTCTGGGAGGCGCTATCTTGGCTGCTGGACAGGCCATGGGATGAGGCGAGAGGTATTTTAAGAATAGTGATCTGGCAGCCCAGTTGAGGAGGCAAAATGGGGGTCAAGAATGAGGTCATGGGAGCAGGGATTAAAATGGTGGGAGGGTGGGGGAGAGGGGAAGGTCAGGTGCAGGATCCAGCAGCTGGAGTTGGGGACGTTATGAGGGGAACTAGACAAGAGAGTACAGCTCCCAGGTCACCAGCCTGAGCTGGGAAAACAGCCTGGGCCTGGAAGGTGACAGTTCCCCCTCCCACGCACACTGGCCCCCTCTGCAAGGCTGTCTGTGCTTGGGGTGGGCTTCCCGCACTGTGGGAACCTGTGGTGGCTGAATTTCCTCCCTGGAGGGGGCTTCCTTGGGTGGACTCCCATGCCCAGGACAACACAGCCGCTTGCAGTGGCCAGGTCTGGACTTAGTGCCCATTAGGACGTCCTTGGCATGCTGAGCAGTGAGAGCAGAGCCTCTGAGCCCTGCCCATCCATCCATCCATCCATCCATCCATCCATCCATCCACACCATCACTGAGGGGAGGCTTATATAACGCCCGTGTCAGAAAGAGCAGAATTCATGGCTTGGTGAAAGTCCCTGTTGAACAGATTCTCAGGGACCCCAGCAGGAGGAACTTCGTTAATATTTGACTGGCTGCTGTGCCCCTGTCCTTCTTGAGCCCTCACGTGGGCAGCTGGTCGAGGGGCCTCTGCAAGGCATTGGGTTCCTGTCCCCACGCAGTGGCTGACTGAGGGCTGAGGCCAGGTGAGGCGTCTGGGCAGCTAAAAATGTCCCTGTGTGTCAGACAGAGCGCAGCCCCAGCGATGACCTCACGTCTGCACTTGCCTGGGTGAGGAGTGCACCTGTGCGTTCAGGGCCCAGAGGCACCAGCCAGCACCAGGCAGGCAGCCCCAGGACAGTGACAGGTGGTCCTGGAACCCCTCCAGCTTTGTGCGCTGCCCCCTCTACCCCTCCTGCCCCTCCAGAAGCACTAGCTGTGTACCGCCAGGCATGTTGCTAAACCTGTCTGTGCCTCAGTTTCCTCTGTGAAAAGGAAGCCATGTAGCCCACCTCGTCTTGTTCGGGGCAGTGCTCGGCACGTACGCGTGAGGGTGCTGGTGGGTGGCTGCCTTTTTCCTGGGAGCCTCAGTTCTAGCTGTTGAGCAAACCCGGCCCCTGTCAGGTCTGGCTCAGGTCACAGTCTGCCCCCTTTATGGCCCCTGACTGTCTGACCAGGGCTGCGGCTGGTGGCTCCTAGGAGCTGATGGCCCAGCACTTGCTTCCATTTGCATTTGTGGGATGAGCTCCCGCCCCTCCCCGACGGTGCCCCGGCATGTGAGTGGCCCCAGTGTGAGCCCAACTTTGGAGACCTAAGGAGAGACAAATGCAGATGTGTCTTTGTACTGATGTTTGCAGAACACACTTCCCATAAAACTGAGCGTGCTAGCTGTGCATGCAGCAGTCAGCACACCTGCAGATTGCGAAGTGGTGTAGCGGGGTGTCGGAGTCGATAAGGGGGTGTGTGTTTCTGTGGAGGAAAGTCCAGCATTAACGGTTTGCGGTGGGGACTGGGTGCTGTGCTCTTGTCCTCTACTTTGATTTCAGTGTGGACAAAGCAGATGTGAAGGGTGGGGTGCTGTGCAGGTTCCTCCTAGGGTGTCTGACACTGCACCTTTGGGATCATTCCATCCATGCACTTCCTGCCACAGCTATGGACCAGGTCCTGGCCGGGGGCTCCATGGGCCAGGGTAGAGGAGCTCCAGGTGAGAGAGCCACCCCCTCCCAGCCAGGCTCCTCCTGCAGCTCACAGGGCACAGCCAGGCGGGAGCCACGACCTCTGATGCCAGTTCTGTGGGTCCCTGTGGCTGAGGGCTGCTCTCCTGAAGTTCTTGGGTGCTGCTGCCCCTGCCAGGCTGGCCCCTGGAGCAGGTGGTGGTCTTCCCTCCCTCGTCTCCCCAGGGGCCCACAGCAGGTGTGTCTGCAGCCAGGAAGGACAGACCTTTGTGAGATTGTGGGCTTGCCCTGTGCCGGCCCCGTCTCTGCCTGGAGGTTGAGGGTCCTCCAGCTGAAGGGCTTCCTGTCCTTGTGCCCACACACACAGTGACCTCACAGCGAGGGTGGGAGGGCTGGGAGGGACAGGCTGGGGCCCGGGTGCCCCCTGACCCTGGCTGGCCCCCTGGCCCTGGCTTACCCCCTGACCCTGGCTTGTGTCTCCACAGCATCAAGATGGTGCTCATGTGGACAAGTGGTGACACCTTCAAGATGGCATACTTCCTGCTCAATGGTGCCCCCCTGCAGTTCTCCGTGTGCGGCCTGCTGCAGGTGATGGTGGACCTGGCCATCCTGGCGCAGGCCTACGCATTCTCCCGCCACCCCCCGAAGCCCACCCCCCACGCAGTGCACTCCACCAGTGCCAAGGCCCTCTGAGGCAGCCAGGAGGACAAAGACATATGACCGCCGGCTGCAGGCACCGCTGGCCACCTGTCGTCCTGCGTGGGCCCCTGGGATGGTGGACAGGTGGGCCCGAGTGCCGTGTCTGCACTCACTCGCTGGAGAACGGCCTCACCCCTACGGGCAGGGCTGTGGATGTTTTCAAGGTGATGGAAAAGCAGGTCTCGCTCTCACTTGCTCTCAGGGCACCTGCAGAACCTGGGAGACGCTTGCAAACCTGGAAGACGGTGGAGCAGGCCTCTGCAGGACAGGTCGTGGGGAGGCTTCTCTGTCTCAGCCTGGACGTGTCCCGTCAACCCGGGCCCGGGGTGCAGAATGAGAAGCAGCATTGGGAGGCTTGGGGCCCAGCACCTCAGGGCCCATGGTCAGAACAGCTGAGGATGGACGTGCTGCTGGACGGCATGCGGAGGGGGCACCCTGTGCCAGGATGGGCCGGGCACAGAGCATGTGGCCGGGATCTTGTGTCCACGTGGAAGGGAAGCCACACCAACACACATGACCTATGTCCTGGTCCATCTGGCTGGAGTGGCCTTGCCTGGGCACCTTCAGTGCGGCCTCCTCGTAGGTACTCAGGACTCAGCCCTTGCCTGGGCTCGGTAGGGGGTCCAGAGGCCTTGTTGTTACACTGGCCTCCTCCCACTGGGGGCGAGGGGACACGCCCATGTCTGTGCCAGTTGGGCACTGGCCAGAGCAAGCTCAGGGGTGTCGGAACCAGAGTCTGGAGTTCTCTCCATGAGTCCTATAGGGTATGGCAGGGTGCGAGCGCCCATGTGGGCCACGCGGGCTGCGCGTGGTTTTTTTTTCCCCTTTTCCTGGGAGGTGCGTACATGTGCAGCACAGCCTGTGGTGTCATTTCCAGGACGGGGACACGCTGAGCGTCCCCCCCGCCCCACAATGAGCGGATGGGCCTGAAGTGACCTTCCAGGGTGGTGGGGTGGCCTGGCATGGGCATCCCTGCCCGCCGTCTCCCGTCCGCATGGCTCTCCATGTTCGCTGCGTGTGGCGGTGGTGAGGTCACTGGTCTGACACTAGTCCCATTTGTTCCCCTTTCAGTATTACATGAGCATCTCAGCCAGGCCAGCCCTGCACCAGCTCCCAGGCTCCCAAAGGCCAAGTGTTCCAGATGCTTCCGTGTGGCTCCCACAGGCATTGTTTTCCCTTCTGCTGGGTGGAGGGGTGGCTCTCTGTGCATTATCAGCACTGTCTGTGGCTGGTGCCAAAGCTCTTGAGGTGTCTGCGGTGGCCGGTGAGAAGCGTTTGAAGCTGTTTCCTCTTCCCGAGTTTTCCTCAAAAACTCCCGAATGTTTGAGGATGCTGCTTAGTTCTTTGGCCTGTAAGATGCTTTAAAACACTTATTTTTTAAAAATGAAGGGAGATGTCTGTAGCAGTAGTTGCCTCTAAATTAAAATATCAATGACTGTAGTGCTGACCGGATGTGCCATGTGTGGGGATGCTCAGGGTTCAGTCTATACAGCGACTTTAAATCAATAAACTGCTCGAGGACCAAGCATGGCCTCATGAATGGAGTCCGTGTGGGGCCCAAGGCACAGTGAATAATTGGTCCTGTGTTCTTATTTCACCTCTGGGGTCTCCAGGGGAGGTCCAGCCCTAAGCACTGGCCTCTGCCCAGAAGTGTCCATGTTCCCTGGGCTGGACTGACATCCGTCCCAGGGCCCAGTGCTGGTCCCTATCCTGTGGGACAGGATCCCCTGGAACAGACCAGCCTCAAGGACAATGACCCGCAGGATCCAGGGTAGATGCCTGACTAGGGAGGTGGGCATGTCTGGCTGTGCACACAGGTGAGGCAACAGGTGTCGGGCCAGGTGAATCCACCTGATCACCTTGGGTGCTCCATTTCCCCACCTGATATGAGCGAGCGGTGCAGGAGAGGTGGCACTTTTATTAGCTGTAGTAGCATAGCAGGGAAATTCTGCGGGACGCCCATCCTGGCCCTGCCCCTGCCCCCCACCTCCCCTGGCTCGGTCCCACTGGGGACCATGCCCAAAGCTGGAAGGGATGGTGGTGGATGGATGCCCTGCATCAGTGGGGCCTCTTGAGTGATGAAGGTCCTCCAGCAGGGTCTGTGGCAGCGATGTTCCAGGTGTCATGGCTCAACTGATTAAAATGAAAAAGTGCAAAGCAGCATAATTGGGAGAGTTCCATTCTTCTGTCTCCAGAGGAGAAAAGGTTCACGCCTCCATGAAAACAGGCTTCTAGCACCTGCAGGCCTAGGCCCTTCCCGCCCCGCCCCCCCTGAACCGCCAGAGAAGTTCCTACAGGAGTGGACCATCCCAGAGGATAGCACCCGGTCCCCAGGCAGCTGAGAGGACGGAGGCGTTTCAGGGGAGAACTGTGAGGGGGAGACCTAGGAAGAGGCCCACCAGATAGTGCCAGGGATAGAGGTCAGAGGTCAGGGCTGGACCCCCAAAGGACCTGGTGGGCTGTGAGCCTCCATGTGAGACCTGTGCCTATCACATGGCAGGGATGTGGGCTTCTGCAGAGCTGGGTGCATGGGGAAGGCCTTCCTCCCCTGGGGCATAGCCCACCTGGGTGAGATGGCTAGAGCAGGAAGGGGCTGTCCCCGTTCCCGTAAACTCCTCCCCCAAGACTGTGCCCCACTGCGCTCCCCTCCCCCACTGGTCCCAGGACCTTCGGGCTGAATAGCAGGGAAGGGTTAGGCTGATGTCTGGGGACAGTGTGACCTTCTGGTATTGCTACAGGCTGGACGTTCTGGGACTTCCTGAATTTATTTTTAGCTAGCCACAGAGAACTCCAAAGGGAAATAAAAGGAAGGAGGACAGGATGGGGTGCCCTCTGGGAAATTTGCTCAAAGCACAAGTTGGCTTTTAACATCACCTCCGACTCCTAGGAGCCTCACTGGTCGCAGCAACATGCACTTGGACCTGATACGCGCCAATAGGAGCGACGCCCCTTAGGGCTTTGGGAGCAGCTGCCCCTAAGTTGAGTTCCTGTCCCTCTGCGCAGTGGGAGGCCAGGGCTGTAGTTCTGTTTCTAAAGCTTGTGAGGGGCAGCCTCCTGTGATGGACAGCCGCGGCCGCCCCTGAGCACAGGGTGTCCGCCCAGGTCAGGCTGGCCCTGTGCGCGCCCATGCGAGGTCCGCTGAGTCCCCAGTCTCGCCGGAGCCTTCGGGATCTTGCGAGCTGGCCTCCGTCGCGCTGGCGCTGGCGGAGCGCGTGCTGTCTTCACGCAGGGCCGGCTCGGGGCTGGCGGCGCGCTGTTGCTGCTCTTTGAGCTCCGAGTAGGAGCGCGAGAAGGTGTGGAAGATGGAGGTGACCGGGAAGGCCATGAGCAGGATGCCGCTGAGGATGCTGCTCAGCGCCACCACTTGTCCGGGCACACTGCGGGGCACCATGTCACCGTAGCCCACGGTGGTCATGGAGATGACCGCCCACCAGTAGCTGGCCGGCACGCTGGTGAAGTCGCGGCGCGCGCCCAACTCGCGCTCGGCCAGGTGCACGAGCGGCGCGAACAGGGCCATGGCCACGCAGAGGAAGAGCAGCAGCAGCCCGAACTCGCGCGCGCAGCGGCGCA